GGCAGGCCATGAGACCTTTGCCTCTAGTGCAGAACATTCTGGGGCAGTGCCACTCACTAGGGTCACTCTCCCTTGCTTTCCAGAGGAAGATATTCCCATGGGGGCCAGAAGCAGCCCTCAAGCAAGAATGCCAACTGGCACCTGATGCCAATCTTTTGAGAAATAGGACCCATGAGGCCTATTTCACCATATATAATTTTATATTTGCCTGGTTACCAGTTCTTGACCTGTCTTTCAAAGACCTAATGCTTCTGAAACTATTGGCTGCCTCTTCTCTATACCAAGATTTTTTTAACTTTTTTTTTTCCTTTGGTATTCTTCATTTTCAAATTCCTTAGCCTCTTCTCTTCCCCAAATCCATTAGCTTCTTTTCCTAATCTAGTCAGATCATAGATGTGGCACAAAACATATCAAAATTTATTAAAATGTGGAAACTCTTTGACTCTTAAGCCACCTCAAATATAATTTGCCTGAGTAGTGTCAAAACGTAATATCCTTTTTGAGGCTTTTGGGTAAAACTGTCATAGCTGACTTTTGATATCTAAAGCAAATTCTATCTGCACATTTAAGTATTCCCCTGGGAGATTTATGTCACCGACTTCAATCACAAAGCACACATCCTTTTTGGAATCTCCCTCATGTATATGACCCATTACTGGGGTTTATACTACAGAAGACTCAATTTCTCTGTAAAATTTTTTCTAAACAAATCTGGCATTCTTGTTAACTCCAAAATGGCTATTACTCTGAAAATCACTCCTCCCAGATCAAATCCCAGAGAACAGTCTGGATTGTTCTGTTGTACTGTAATGAAATTAGAATGAGATGATTATAGCTTAAAATTCGCATTCCAGGCCATGTAGAACTGTTATTCATATTGTTGGTACAGTGTTTGTGAAGCCCACATGTGATCATGTATGGGGGATATTCTGAAATTGTAAGGAGCAGCACAAATGTGAGGTTGACAAGTCCCCCTTAAAATTGCCGAGAAGTGTTTCCTTCCCAAGGCTTGGTGGATACCAGGCACACAGCTATTTGATATGAAGATCATGACAGTGATTCTTGGCTTTCTCCCTCCCTCTTCATCATCTGACAAAGCCAGAATAGCTCCGAGTCGCCTGACCAATTGCTGGAACCAAGCTGAGGACCCTGCCAGGACAGACATTGTTTTCGTACAGGGGCAAGGACACTTTATAGAGTTGTGACAAAGGTTAAATAAGATTATGTAGGCAAAATGAATAAATACTGGGTACATTGTAAGCACTCAACAAATGGGAGTTATTATTGGTTTTATCATCATCTTCATCCCACAGACCACCACTGACAGGCCCAAGTCACTACTCATCCTCAACCCTTAAAGAGCAGGAAGCAGTATTGTTGGGTGGCTGAGTGAAGACAAGGGTCCATGTCCTTGGAATCCTTAAAGGGCAACTAATGACCTGGGTGGAGCCTGGTAAACTGCGTTAAGAATCTTTAAAGAGGCGTGGCTTCTCAGAAGGGCGGGAATCGTCTTTAGGCGGGGCCGAAGCCAGAGGTCCAGGTCATGCAAATAGGATATGAATATGCTAATATACCCGGTTTGCCATCTATGGGAGATCGCCTGCTTGGCCTGGCAGAGCCCTAGTTAAAAGGAAAGGACGTGAAGACGACGTGTAGGTGCAACCTGGTTTTTGGATGGAATCAACTCCGACAGACTTCGCGCTGGGAGAAGACGTCCCCCTCCAACCCAGCACGGGGATCTCGCAGCCACCCTAGCGCCGCCTTTGCGTCCTTTGGCTCCTCACCAAGGGTCATGAAAGGATGGGGATGTGGGCAGCACTGAGGGGCTCCCTCCGAACTTAGGAGCCAAAAGTTCTTGCCAGCAATATCACCTTGTTTTACAGGTGGGGAAACTGAGGTCCAAGAGGTTAAGTCCTTTCTCAAGGTCTCAGTACTAGCGGCAGAAGCACTCGGTTTAGCAGGTTTTGTCTGTTTTGTTTTGTTTTCACTATCACACGTGCAGTCCAACTCTGTAGGTGAAAAAGCAAGTCCCAAACGAGGCAAAACTTGGTACATTACCAAGCAAGTCCCGGACTGCCCACCAGGCTGGAGGATTGAGAAAAGAATACCTCCTGGGGAAAGATGAAAGGAGTTGGGGTGGCAGCCAGAAACAGTAACAAGCAAGGACAAATGATCATAGACTGGTCTGGAATGTGTTGCCATGTAAAGGTGATGAAGTGTCCAACTTCCTGAGAACCAGCTCAGAGGAAATAAAAGGGGAACAAAAAGGATTAGGGTTAGATTTAAGGCAGCACTTTCTCCCAGGGATGATAATGGGACCCTTTATTCAGTGACTGAGGAAGGATGTGGACTAACCCGACTTCCTCCTATTTCTGAGGCCAATGGGAGTCCATCTCCCTGGAGTCCCACTGGGGCCTGCTTGGAGGACAGGAATGAACAACTGACTTTGAAAAGTCCCCGCCATTCAGGTAGGAGATGCTTTTCCTGGATGGGCCTCCTGGGCTCTTTGCTGAGGGTGAGGACAGCAGACACGCTGGCTCCAGGGCCCTGAGGGCAGGAGGTCAGAGGGGAGGGAGAAGCAGCAGTCATGGCATCTCTTGCAACACGATCCCTGCCAAATTGATTCAAATTGGCTTGGATATGAACATATGATTAAAGGAGCAGCGCGATTCATTTATCAGGAGAGATTAAAGAGCAGCATCTGTGCAGCCTAGCTGGGGGACAATTAAGGAGCAAATCGCTAAATGTCTGTGCCACCAGGCATAGGGGTGGGGCATGGGAGAAGGACAACTGGTATAATTTGCCAAGAGGACACAGGACAAAAGGAGGTCTAGTTCAGGGGTCATTTCGTACCGCTGTGGTCTCTAGGCACTGGGCACCATGGGGAGCCTCCCAGGGCTTTGGTCCTCACCCACGACCCTTATCCATGAGTCAGAAAAATCTTGAGGGGCTGAGATTAGAGAGGAGGATCTATTGAGGCAGCTTTGAGTTCGGCACAGGGGCAGATTTGCTGTCAGTTTTGTAGGAATCACTTACATCTTAGGGACCAGAGCTACTTTGAGTGTACAGGTGAGGGCAGGGGCGTACAGGGCTCTGAAGGTACACTCAAAATGAAGATGGGCTTTGATAATCCTGCAGGCCCCTGAACTCCCCTGGGGAACTGGTGCTGAGGGGATCGCCTCCTTCCAAGCCTGGAGCCCCGCTCCCTGGCAGAGAAGCTTCGCTGCAGCTTGGAGAAGCATTGGTCACGTGAGGGGATGTCTGGCTTCCTCAGACCACATGTGGTTCCTACCACCACCTCTCTATCCTTGCCTCAGAGCCTTTGCTTAATCTCTTCTTTCTATCCAGCACACCTGCCCCTGCAATCTCTACCTGTGGTAATGCTATCCTTTCTTCACAACCCAGCTCAAAATATCACCTCCTTGTAGAAGACTTCGCAGTCCTTCCCAGTCCTCCCTCCTCCTCACAGTGAGTATCCCCGCTCATAATATGCCCCAAACAACTTTTTTGGTCCTGTTATGTCTCATATAATCATTTTCACATGGGTCTGCCCTAGCCCTAATCCACAAGCCCCTGGAGGACAAACACCATGACTTACTTCTCTGCTCACACAAAGCTTACATATTAGTAAGTGCAGTACATATTTTGTGTCTAACTTCACAAGAATCTCTGCTTTATGAGAGAAAGGACCTCATCAATACCAGCACTTAGAATAGTGCCTAGACCATAGCAGGCAGTTATGAAATATTTGTTGAGTGAATGAATAATATAATTGACTGTTGAGGGGATGAATAATACAAGTTTTCTGACTTGAACAAAGCCCTCCACCCCAGGCCAGGCAATTGGAGATTGATGTTAGACTTTCCAGTTAACCAGAGGCCCGAGTCCATGTGGGTGAAGAGGGTTGGGATCTTGTCTGCAGGTGGCAGGGACTTTGTCATAATAGTTCCTGGAAACAGAAAACGCACCAAGGTACTTGAAAGCAGGAGTAAAAGATGTGACAGAACTGAACATGAGGAACCAGTAGTTTAAGGAAAAAAGTATACACAAAAATAACTTTACTTTTACTACCTTTTCTAGTCAACCTTGGGGGAAAGTGGAGAGGCAGTCTCAAGTTTAAGCTGGATCCATTTTACACTTCTCTTGCACTCATTTTGGGGGTGACTTTTCCCCTTCCTTCCCTTTCTTGACCCTTTCTGGGTAGCTGATATCACCAGAACCTCAACATTAGAGAGAGCTGTCTGATATTCTTTCCTGCCTACCTGCCCAAACCAGGGGAGCCCGACTGACCAGCTATACAAACACATCATACGTGCAGAGATTATAACTGGTCACATTACAGAAGATATAAAAGGAGGAAGGATTATAAGTGGTCACATCACAGAAGGTAGAGGAGGAGGGGACGGGGAGGAGGTTTTGTTTGTTTCTAGTCCTTCTGTTTGAACTGCTTCTTAGCTTCAGTGAGGGGACCAAGTATAGACTGGGGCAGGAAGGCAGAGAAGCCAGCACTCCTGGCTTGTTCAAATTGCCCTGTGGTCCATGGGGCAGGAGGCCAGAGAGAGCTCTGTCCACTTTTGATCAAAAAGCCATCTTTGGAATGACTAAAATTAAACTTTAAAAATTCTAATACAAAGCATCCTTAACAATAACAAAAAGTTACCGCAGATAGGATCGCTGTAATTGGTGAGATTTAACAGAGGGACCTCAATATTTCCAAGTAGAGGCGAGGAGAGGATGAGGCCTGGTAGCTGTGGCAACCTGAATTACAATCCATAGACTCTTAAAATTGGAAGTGGTGCTTGTATCTCCTTTGACCAATCCTCTCATCCCACTGCCTCTGCCCGCCCCACATGACCTGCTGAAGCTAAGTGGCTCTGGTCTGATGTGGGAGCAGACCAGGGAGACTCCCCCAAGCCCCCACCAGAATCCTGACTCTGCTCCCCTATGGCCACTCTGGACTTTACCTGAGCCTGAAGGAACAGCAGGAAAATTGGCACAGCCAGGAGGAAAAGGACATTTATTTCCATACATCAGGTAATCAGGGAAGAGAGAACACAGCCCAATGAGGATAAACCAATTGCAGAAGAGGAGAGAAGAGGGGACAGCAAATGGGAGCGGTGGCAGGCACAGCCCTTGGGCCCCCGAGTTTGGTGGTGTTGGAGAGATGACCTTTAGGGTTGGGGCTGGGACTGTCAGGCTACATGTTGTCATGTTTAGGATAAGTGGGGCATGGAGGGGGGGGTGTGACTGGATGAAGAAAAATGACCCAGGCTCAGGACACAGGGTGAGGACCCATGTCTAATACATATTAGTACTGACCCAAACTTCCATCTTCAGTTTTTCTGATCACAAGTCCTCAAACCCAAGGCCTTCCCTCTCAAGTTGAGCTTATGGTCCAGGCAACTTGGACAGAGTGGGAGGGAGGCAGTGCTTGGATAAGCCCCAAACAGGCGTAGGTGGAATGGGTTTACTCTTAAATAGGTCATTGCACTTAACACACGGATGAGCTGAACAGGGGCAGGGGCGGGCTGTTCCGGATGGTGCACATGCACCCCTGTCTGTGTAGGTTTGCTCAATCCAAACCCAGAAGCACCTGGACCCAGCTTTGCTTACCCGTCTCTCCAGCTGCACAGAGAAAGGGCTGCTCTCTGAAGAGTGAACACGGAGATGAAATTGCCCTAGTCGTTCTGGGGCCCCAGCTGCCATCGCAGCCCCCTCCCACGCTCAGGGATGCAGCTGTGATGGAGAGGTTGGGTATTTAAATTAAAAAGTAAAAAGACAGCAGGCACTGAGAAGAGAAAGCCCTCACCCCAAGCCAGGGGGAAGGAATTGCTGTTCCAGCCCCCATCTCCTCCCCATGGACCCAGCAACCTAGAATGTCCCAGTAGGCAATCTGTCCACCGTCCCTGAGCAGAGGGCTGAGATGGAGGTCAACTTGCTGGCTCCATGCAGTGCTAAGCCACCTGCCACTGCCCACAGTGGCCCAAGGTCAAAGCCAAGAGTGTGGCATTTTGGAAGGAGGAGGAGCAAAAAGTTCTCTTGTCAGAAACTCCTCTTCCCCCACCTCTTCCATGTGGAGATGTCAGACCCCACAGCCTGGAGAGCCCCCGACCCAAGAGGGTCAGGTGTTTCTCCTGCAGATCAGCAGTCAGGTGGGGAGACCTGCGCCCCGCTCTTCCTGGGAGAGGCGCTGTGGCAGCAGTAGCCCATGGGATGGGAGGCTATGCATTGCTCTCCGTTGGCTTGGCTTCTGTGTCGCTGTCACTCAGATTGCTGTGGGAGTGTCGGGGCCTGGAGGTGCTGTCAACAGGGTCGTGCTCTTCATCTGACCGGTCAGGGGCAAGGGACTTCCAGTAGCTGGTGGGGCTGCAGGGACAGAGGAATGAGATCAGAGGAATGACATTCCTAATCTTCAGCACCAAAGCCTTTCTTCCTGGGGAGGCCCAAAGCCCAGTCATGGCATTCCTCAAAAGCCACAAATTAAGTAAAAACTTCCTGGCTTCCCCAGAAGACATTCGGAGTAGTAAGAGAAAAGGACCCATTGTCTTGACTCTGAGCACTTGGAAAACCCCGAGGAGAGCGATGCTGTAGAGTCTACAGTGTAGACGCCACAGATGTCTCAGGGGAAGGAGCAGGGCTGCAGCTGATTCTTATGCACACTCAGGTCAGTGTAGAGCAACGGATCTGACTTGAGTGTGCATATGAATCAGCTGCAGCCCTGCTCCTTCCCCTGAGACATCTGATTCGCTAGTTCTTGGGTGGAACCCAGGAATTCTGCATTTTCAAGTCCCTTTCCAGAAGATTCTGAGGCAGGCAGTCCATGGACCACACTGATGTGGAAACCGAAGGTCTGGTGATTACATGACTACAACTTGTCTAAGGTAACGTTATTCCCAGAAAGGTTCCAAGGAGGGCCTTTCCCTATTGAATACTCCCAGATCTGAACCCTTTCTCCTATTAGGTTTTCCTAAGTCGGTGAGAATTTCTGCCCTTGACCATGGTATCATCTGCTTACCACAAGGAATGGAGACATGGAATGTAGAAGCTGGCAAGACCTCTATTTCAGGGTGGCATACTTGCCCCTGTCTAGGTACCATGACCCAACCCTGTAGCGTTTTCATCGGGTTCCTGGGAGTCTCCAGCCACCCCACTCCTCAGGATGTGGAACAGCATTACCCCTGGATGGGGCAGGCTCATGGCACCAAGCGAGGATGGAACCTCATCTTCCAGATCATCTCCTTCTCTTTATTTTCTTCCCCAGAGCTTTCCCCTCCCCCCTCCCCCTTTCCCCACTCCACTGCCTTGGCCAGTTCAAGTGCCAACACTCTTGGAGAAAATGCAGTCTAGGCTGGCTTCACCCCTACCAGTGCCCTGCACCCAGTGGGTCCCTGCCCAGTGCTTCCAGGGACACAGCCTTGCTTCTAGATCCTGGAGAGCTTCCACAGGGATAAAGAGAAATTCTGTGATCTCTCTGCCTGCAAGTCTAAGAATCTGAGGAGGGCCCTTGTTTACTTGTCCTGTCAAAGTTCTATCCCCAAATCAAAAGAAGAAGAAACAGTTCTGCATGAAAGAACTACATTCTGTGGTGAAGAAAGGATTTGGTCACTGAGTACTTCCTGTGTGTGGGACACTCTCCTAGGCACTCTGGATGTGCTCTGTTATCTTCACAATAACCCCAGGAAATGTCCTGAGGACGCTGGTTCAAAGAGATGGAGCATCTTGCCCAAGGTCACACAAACAGTGTGTTAATTTGAACCTGGGACTCTCAGACCTCAAAGGCTTTTGATGACTCCACCTTGCCACTAGACTGGGTGACCTGAGGAGAAAACAAGACCGAACCTGAATTATTCCTGCTGGCCTGGCCTGGGCGAGAGCCTGGTGGGTGTGTAAAGCCAGGCAGGCCTCTCTCTCTCTCTCTCTCTCTCTCTCTCTTTCACTCTCTCCCCCTGGGGAGAAGGAACAGCCTGATAAAATACATGTTCAATTATGCAAAATGGTTCAGGAATGGGGCAGTCTGGTTAATAGTTATCATATTTCTCATGAATGAATTATCATTTTTAAAGGAATCAGAATAGCACAAAACACATTTAATACAAACCAGACTGAACATAAATGAATCTTACGTTAATGGGCCAAAGGCACTTAAGGACTCTGGGGTGTCTTAGGGACAAAATTATAAAGCCCAATGACTACACAACATAGAAAAAATTGGGGTTATTTTAGCTTTTTGGGTTGTTTGAATTCTAAATTAGTGGGAGCCTGGTTTTATTTTCATATTTGAGACAGAATTTCTGCCGTTAGGCGAAGGAAGGACTGGCTTTGTGGAAAGACAGGTTATTTTGTGGGCAGAGGCGGAGGCGAGGCAGATACCAGGGCTGACACCCAGATGCAAATTGGATGCTGCTGGACAGCTGGGGTGCTTCTTCCCATTCTCTCACCTCTTCTCAGAGTGGGGCTGTACCCTCCTCCCCCCGATATACCTGTGCTGGCCAGGCAGACCCCTGGGTAAATGACAACCAGGTTTTAACACTGTTCCGTCCGACTGCAGAGGCAGTGCGGAGGGGGTGACTCCAGGCCTCTCTTCCCTGCTCTGTGGAGCCACAGGATTCCCTTCTCCCACCCCGGGTGCTCTTTGGCCAGTCTCCTTCGCGGAGCCTGCGGCAGGCGGCTAGCCCCTCCCCGGGGCAGGAGTCAGGGCTGGCAATTTGAACATTTTAACCAAATTGTTTAAAAAGCTTTCCTCTCCACAAGCCACTGTCTCCTGCTCAACGCTGTCACAAACAATTTGGTACATAAGCTAATTCCTGCTGGGTGAGCCTAGGGTGGCAGCCCCCACCCCTTGCCTTAGCTACGATGCGTTCGTGTTCTGAATTCTCACCGGTCCCCATCACCAGATGGGAAGCTAAGCCACCACTCTGCCTCTGCCCCCACTCTTGGCAGTTTATCCATCCAAAGCCAGTCCTTGCTGAGTCCAACGAGGTCCTCCCTCCCTCAGCCCTGGTCTCGCTGGCTCTGTATTGGTCGGCTAGCTCCTGGCTTGGTGCCCACTCTCCCCGCAGTGAATACAATCCTCCGCGGAGGTGGTGGCGTGTAGGGTTTCAGGACTACTCCTGTTTTCCTGGTGGACAAGAGGAACTGTGCTGGTGGCTGGGGGAAGAAACAGGCTTTATGTGATTTTGTTCTTGCTGGTTGTGGAATTGAGGGTGGCGAAGGGCTGAGGGCACTGGATGGAGTCGGAAATCCACCTGCTGTTGATCAGGGTGGGATGGCCTGGCTAGGCCCATGTCTCCCTCCTCAGGTGGGGGTACAGTGCCGCTCCTAAGGGCCTGGCCCTCTTTGCTCTCCTAACCTCCCCCCGTGGTCCATCAGCTGACTTCCTGTGCTGGGGCAGCAGGGCCCTCAGCAGGGCTGCTGAGGTGGTAGACACCTATCATGACTCCTGTCTCTTCTCACCATGGAGCTGACACGGCTCCATAGTGCAACCGAGACGCAGCCTGCTCTTCCCAGAGCATCTGTAACCACCTGCTACGAGGGCAAAGTGACAGAGCAGTGCTGAGCCCAAGGGCTTGGTTTCAGAGCAGCTCAGGGCCCAAGGAGTTGGCCACGAGCCTGGTCTGGGTTCAAGTTCCATCTTCCCCATCCCATCCCCCTAATCCCATCCCATCACCCATCTTCAAACAGCTTCTGGTACCACTCACTTCCACTTGCTCCATTCTTTAAAACGTAACTTGGTCCCTTTGGTATAAAAGGGACAAAGTCAGTGTATTTGTCAGGGGCTCCACTGCACAGGCCCACAAGCAGGCGACAGGTGTGTGTTAGTTCATGCATCTGGGGAACAAACGCCCGTGCCTCCCGCGACTGTGCTCCGGGGCCATACCTCCTGGGAAGCAGCAAGCTTGCCCTGGGAGGGTACCATGCCGGAAACAGCTTCACTTAACCAGGGTGATCCAAATGTCACCACCCCCAGCCAGGGAAACTGGCAACAATGGGATGCCAATGAGTCAGTCCGAGGTGGGGGTGTGGGCAGAAAGGCCTAACTGCTAGATCTCCCTCCCCACAGGGAGAAGACAAGGGAGAGGACAGGGGAGGCAGGAAAGCCAGGAGAGGGCTGTCACTCAGCAGCTGCTAATTTATACCCATTAAAACTTTGCAAGATGAGCAGAGAGGAGGTGACGCCCATGTGTGGGCTTCAGGTGGGAGGGGTGGGGAGAAAGTCAGACATCTCAAGGGCTGCTGTAGGATGCAGTACTTCGGGGGCGGGAGTGAACCTCGCACTCCTAGGCTTGTGATCCATGCCAGGGAGGCAGTGGTGTTGCAGAGCAGGGGATAGCTGAGCAAAAGACCCGAGGGTAGCTGGTGGCCACGGATGCTCCAATCCACAGCAGGGGGTCAGCCAGGGCCCTTTCTTGGGCCCAACCTACTGGGGGCTATGGACAAAAGCTCCTATCGGTACTGTGTGCTGCCAGGCGCACACAGTAAACATTTTGCCCGCGTGCTCTGTCTTGGGCTGCATGGAGGAGTGGTTAAGGACAAGCTGAATAGCCTACATTCAGATCCGGGCAATATCACTTCCTGGCTGAGTGACCTTGGTGACAACTTCCATGAGCCTCACCTTCCTCTTCTATGAAATGGAGCTAATCAGGTCTTTGTTACGGGTTTAGTGTGAGGACTAAGTGAGTAAAGCGTGGCAAGTATCTAGGAAGATGCCTGGTCCAGGGTAGGACTCAGTACGTGGGAGCTGTGATGGACATGAACGTG